CCCCAAAACCCCAAAACCCCAAAACCCCAAAACCCCTCCGGAATTAAAGATAATTGAGATATTAAATTTTTAATTACTACCGTTTTTCAAGTAAAAATTTTTAGTCCCCAATGTTTTCTTATACCTCGCTCTTTGACTTTGAGGCCACTTGAACCCTCCTACTGCTCAGCAAGAACTTGTCGATCTATATTTTTACCAAAGGAACTTTATACTTCTTCTGCTTTGCAAATTTTTTCTGGATATAGTTGTTCCGGATATAGCTACAGAATCAGACACGATTTGTACTACCTTGCTAAACTTTCTTTCATCTTGTTAGAAGGAGAAACGACAATACTTCCAATCTTAGTAGAGAGGTTTCTATTCTTTATGCTAAATCTTACTGGTTAAAACACTTTTTAGGAGAACCAAGAAGAGGAGAAAGAGTGTTCTTGCTTCTAAACAGCTCCTTCACTGGTGCCTTTTGGTGAGACTTGTTTGAACTAACTTGTCTATTTTTGTATTTTCTACAACTATGATTGCTGGTGAAATTTAAAGGAGTCGTTCCTTCAACTATTAATTTTAGCTCCTTCCTTTTTTGTACATTCTTTATAGGCTTTTCTTCTTTGTTGACTCCTTGCTTTGAGGAACAAAAATGTTTAAATCCTAATTCGTCTTGTGATAACAATCTCAAATTCTTCCTCAAAGTTTTGGTAACTTTAAATCCGAGATCTGAAGAGGGTCTGACTAAGAGTAGGCTTTTATCAGCTAGGCTTTTACTATGTCATCATACCTTGAGGAATCTGATATTGTAGCAGATGTTTGTCTGCTTCACTCTCCTTGCCCTAATGGTTACCAGATGTATTACCTTCTCTCTTACTTGACAGTGATTATCTGTAAAATCTTGAATTCTGAGTCCGTGAATGCTCTGGTCATAATATTTACTCAGCTTTATCTTTGATATTGAACAATAAGTTTACCTTTCTAAGACTTTGATTGACGGCCTGGTTCTGATGCTTTACCTTCGGAGTTTGAGAGCCCTTTTGACCATTAGTAGACATTTTGTGAGAACTTTGCCTTGCAGAGCAGACTTGACTTGTTTTTAAAGAAAGAACTCTGCTTGTTTTTATCGAGGGCTGAGGGAGCTTTTTAAGCTGACTTGGTACTTCTTGGCCTCTTTCTTTATACCATTTTGGAGAGAGTTTTTCGGATTCGAAGTCTAGAATAGTCTAGAAAAGTACCTTCTGAGTCATAAAAGTAATCTGTCTTTCTATTAATTTTCTTTTTTCCATAATTCTTAATACTTTTTCTGTCTGAATTCTTAACAAAATTGCAATTTTCTTCGTGAGATGATTTCATTGATCAAGTGTTATCTTCACCTTGATGGTAAGCTGATAGAATTGACTTCCTCTCAGATCTGACAGATGCTAAAAGTTATCTTCTTTGACTTACTATTCCTTGGACTTCTGTTTCCTGAAGTGACAGAACGATTAATTCTTGCATGCAGTAGCTTGTTTATGTTTGTTTTCACGTTTATATTTGCAACCCTGACTTTTTAACCACAACTTTTAGAGGATCAAATTTCTCAGTGTCAGTCTGGCTACTTGCATTATTGAAACGATAATCACTAACGCTTGGATTACTATCGGCCATTTCTGTAAAAGTTTTTGAGTTAAAACACACAGTAAGCTTACATTTTATTTTGTTTTGTTGAAATAAATCAATAATATGTAATAATCCTGGGGTTTTGGGGTTTTGGGGTTTTGGGGTTTTGGGG